CTCGTGATCCGCCCGTCTCGGCCTCCCAAAGTGCTGGGATTACAGGCGTGAGCCACCGCGCCCGGCCCCGGGAACAACTTTTTAATTCACCCAGAAGTATGACTGTGGTAAAGTGACTGTGACCTCTGAGGGTAGAATGGGGATGGGTTCCCCTTGCCTTTTCTAGTCTCTTTTGCAGCAGACACACGTGCCAATCTGTGATCTGAAAAGCGCCTCCCCCCCGCCCCCCACCCCCAACCCATGGAAAAAGCTGTGGTGTCAGCAGTAGCTTAGAGAGCTACCAAGAGAAGTCTCAGGCTGTAGGTTGGGATCCCCGATGAGAGTTGTCCTACACATTCCCTGGGACCCTTGATGACTCCAATCAAAGTGTGAGCAGGGCTTTGAGCTAAGGGTGGCTCCTGAAGCTCCCATTATCTTACACTGAATGGGTGCTTAGGAAATGTTTTCAAAATCAATTCTGATAAATTTATTTCACCACAGCAGTCAATCTCTCCACTTAAAAAAAAAAAAATTCTTGGCCAGGTGCAGTAGCTCATGCCTGTAATCTCAACACTTTTGGGAGGCTGAGATGGGTGGATCGCTTGAGGCCAGGAGTTCAAGACCAGCCTGACCATCATGGTGAAACCCTGTCTCTACTAAAAATACAAACATTAGCCAGGCATGGTAGCACAGCCTGTAATCCCAGCTACTTGGAAGGCTGAGGCAGGAGAATCCCTTGAACCCAGGAGGCGGAGGTTGCAGTGAGTCAAGATCATGACACTGCACTCCAGCCTGGGCAACAGAGCAAGACTCCATTTCAAAAAAAACAAAAACGAAAAAAAAAGTTTTCTTATACATGGAAAAATATTAAACAAAGAAAACCTAAAATTTAAAAACATAAAATATAGTAATATAATGAAGAGATGTGATTATACTATCTCTGCATCTACATTTCTATCTGTTTATTATTTTTTACCGTGGTTACTTCCAAAAAAGGATCTGAGAAACAATTTGCAATTAAATACATATAAAATAGGGCCCCTTAGAAAAGACAAATCCTGGGTCAGGTGTGGTGGCTCATGCCTAATATCCCAATACTTTGGGAGGCCAAGGCGGGTGGATAACCTGAGGTCAGGAGTTCGAAATCAGCCTGGCCAACATGGTGAAACCATCTCTGCTAAAAATACAAATAAAATTTAGCCAGGCGTGGTGGCACATGCCTGTAATCCCAGCTACTCAGGAGGCTGAGGCAGGAGAATTGCTTGAACCCAGGAGGCAGAGATTGCAGTGAGCTGAGATTTCGCCACTGCACTCCAGCCTGGGCAACAAGAACAAAACTCTGTCAAAAAAAAAAAAAAAAAAGGCAAATCCTGGATCGGAGAGGGAGAGAGATGTCACAAAACCTAGTTGCTATAACTAAACTCAGTTTGTGTCTCTGAATTTTCTGGAGCATTTTTTGGCAAAATAGGGTATCACTTGCTCTGTGATGACTGTCCCAGTGCCCCTAGATTAGAAACTCCTCCTCTGAACTGAATGTGGCACTTGCTCCATATCATGGCCACTGTGCTTTCACTTCTCTGCTTCTCCCACTAGACTGGGAGCTTGCAGAGGAATTAGGTTTTATTCACATTTCTATCTATTGCTGCCCAGATCAGCACACATAATTCATACTCAACAAATGTACTTGGTTACATAGCCTTCCCTACTCAACAGAAGGAAGAGAGCACTCCCATTGTCACCAGAGCTGGGCTCCCACTCTAAGCGATGCCAGGTAGCACAGTGACCTCAGCGGCCTCAGCCACTAAACTGGTACTGCTTTTTAACTGTTGCTTTGCCTCTACAGATGCCCCAGTCAGCTCTGTGGCCCTTCGCCAGTCGGGAGGCTATGTTGCCACCATTGGAACAAAGTTCTGTGCTTTGAACTGGGAAGAACAATCAGCAGTTGTCTTGGCCACAGTGGATAACGACAAGAAAAACAATCGCTTCAATGATGGGAAGGTGGATCCCGCCGGGAGGTACTTTGCTGGTAAGATTTCTCTTAACACCTACTTACTGAGCCTTGGAGGAAATACTTTGACATACAAAGTTCTCACTACTGGCTAGGGTGGTGGCTCACGCCTGTAATCCCAGCACTTTGGGAGCCAAGGCGAGTGGATCGCATGAACCCAGGAGTTCGAGACCAGCCTGGGCAACATGGTGAAATCCTGTCTCTACCAATGTTACAAAAAATTAGCTGGGTGTGGTGGCGTGCACCTGTGGTCCCAGCTACTCAGGAGGCTGAGTTGGAAGGATCATCTGAGCCCAGTAGTTTGAGGCTGCAGTGAGCCAAGATCGTGCCACTGTACTCCAACCTGGGTGATAGAGTCTCGAAAGAAAAGAGGGAAGGAGGAAGGGAGGGAGGGAGGGAGGGAGGGAAGGGAGGGAGGGAGGGAGGGAGGGAAGAAAGAGAAGAAAGAAGAAAGAAAGAAATAAAGAAAGAAGAAAAAGAAAGGAGAAAGAAAGAAAGAAAAAGAAAGAAAGTAAGAAAGTAAGTTCTCACTACCTCAAAAGTGTTATTTATAATGAATCTTGGGTTCTTCTTTTATTATTGCCTGAGTAACTTGTAGCACACACACACACACAAAATCCTATGATAAAATCTTCATTTGTATTTCCGTCTCTAGCAGAGACTAAAATCTGTATGGTATTTTGGTGGTTTAAGTGAGTTTTAAATACAGGGGTTTTGTTGTTGATGTTTAAATCAGAAATATTTTCAAATTTACAGAAAAAAATAAGAATAGTACAGACTGAGCATGGTGGCTCACGCCTGTAATCCCAGCACTTTGGGAAGGCCGAGGCGGGCAGATCATGAGGTCAGGAGATTCAGACCATCCTGGCTAACAAGGTGAAACCCTATCTCTCCTAAAAATTAAAAAATTAGCCAGGCGTGGTGGTGGGCACCTGTAGTCCCAGCTACTGGGGAGGCTGAGGCAGGAGAACGCCGTGCACCTGAGAGGCAGAGCTTGCAGTGAGCCGAGGTCACGCCATTGCACTCCGGCCTGGGCAATAGAGAGAGGCTCCATCTCAAAAAACAAAGAATAGTACAAACAACACTTGTATTGTATACCTTTTACTCAGGTTCACCTATTGCTAACATTTTGTTCCATTTGCTTTATCATTCGCTGTCTGTATATATCTAAACATGTTTATCTCTGGAGTCCTTTATTTAAAAAAAAAAAAAAATAGAGGTGAGATCTCACTCTGTTGCCCAGGCTGGTCTTGAACTCCTGAGCTCAAGTGATCCTCACACCTCATCCTCCCAAGTGCTGGGATTACAGGTGTGAGCCACTGCGCCCGGCCTATCTCCAGAATCATGTGAGAGTAGGTTGCATGTATATCCTATGTGCCTTTACCCCTAAAATGCTGCAGTGTGAATTTCCCAAGAAAGATGACATATTCTTACATGACCACAGTTAGAGTGATCAACTTAAAAAAGTTTAGCATTGATACGGTCATTTTATCTGATATACTATTTAAATCCCAGTTTTGTCAATCGTGCAAAAAGTGTTCTTTCTCACGTTTTTTCCCTCCAGCACAGGATCCAGTCTAGGATCATGGATTGCATTTCCTTTTCATATCTCTTTGATCTTTTTTAAAACTGGAACATTTTCATAGCTTTTTTGTTGTTGTTTTTTATAACATTGCCATTTTTGAAGAATACAGCCAGCCCTACCCAACTCCCCCCTTTTTTAACAGGGCATTCCTTATTTAGTATCTGTCTGGTGTTTGTGATCAAGTTGATGTTATACATTCCTGACGGGAATACTGCATAGATAATGTTCTGTTCTCAGGGTAACCCATCTGGAGGTACACGATGTCCATGTGACCCCTCGTTGGTGATTTTGATCGCCAGGTTAAGCCTCTGTCAGATTTCTCTACTGCATAACTATTTTTAATTGCAATTTATAAACAATTTGTGGGGGTTGTTAGTTATCTATTGCTGGATAACAAATGACGCTGAAACTTAGAGGCTTAAAATAAGAAATATTTATTATCTCAGATGGTTTCTGAAGGTCAAGAATCTGGGTGCAGCTTAGCTGGATGGATCCAGTTCAGGCTATCTCATAAGACTGCAGTCAAGCTTTCCGCAGGGGCTGCAGCCTCGGAAAAGGCTGGATTCTCTGAAGAGGCCTGAAGGATCCACTTCTAAGCTCATTCACATAGGGGTTGGCAGGAGGCTTCAGTTCCTTAGCTGGTGGGTCTCTCCATAGGGCTGCTCAGGACATGGCTGCCCCTAGAACTAGTGATAAGAGGAGAGAGAGAGAGAGAGAGAGGAGAGAGAGGGAAAACGCATGCACCCAAGATCCAAGATGGAAGCTACAGTCTTTAGCCAATTGGAAGTGACATACCATCACTTCTGCCATATGCTATTTGGTCACACAGACAATGACAGAGGGAACTATCCAAGGGTGAGAATCATTAGGCGCTATCTTGGAGGCTGGCTACAACATGGGGAGATACTCTAAGTCCACACAAATATCCTGGTCCTCATCGAAATTTCTCCCTTAAGTTTTACATTCGTGGATGATTCTTTCTTGAACCAAAGTTTACTATGATGAGTGCAGAATGACTTATATGCAGGTTTAAAAGAATTTTATCTACAGTTTTAAATTAGATAATGCATTTCACATATATTTCTCATCATAATAACCTTCTAAGTTAGCCAAAGTTGATTCTCCATCTCTGCTATTCCCACCTTCCCACACTGCCGCCTCATATTGTTGGCCCTGCTGTCCTGGCCCTGTGCATGTTCAACCTGGAAGGCAGGAGAGGTCAGAGCAGCTGACTGTAGACTGCTTCCCATCTTCCTGGGCTTTATAAAACCACAGATATGGTCAGGGACAGGTTGAAAGATTAAAGATGAGAATCTGTTGGAAGCCCTTCTGCAGTAATTTCCGCAGGATAAAGATACATAATTGGATATTTCACCTCCTGGTGAAATTGATTTTCTTTCCCTCTTTCGAGTAGAAGTTGACAGTTCTGCGCTCGCTTCAGCAGCATATCTACTAAAATTGGAACAATACAGAGACGATTAGCCTGGCCCCTGCACAAGGATGACACGCAAATGCATGAAGCGCTCCATATATTTTTTTAAAAGTTTACAGTTCTGAGGCACTTTGTGAGACAAAAATAAAGATGGCCTCCAAGGCCTGCATTCTTAGCATGGAGTCTCTGGGCCATCAAGAGACCTCTTAAAATTGTAGGTGTCATTGTGGGTGTAACTATTAGGTATTACTATAATATTCTATAGTACTAATACTAATACTATAATATTATACTTATAATAATATATAGTTTTACTTTATATATTATAATATATAATTTTAATTTATATATTATAATATAGTATAATTATATAAGTACATATAATTATATTATATTAATATAATTATATAGTATATAATATATAATGCAATGATATATTATATAATATATAATACAACTATATATAATATTATATATTATAATATTATATATAATTATGTTATAATACTATAGTATTCTTGCAGATGCCTAACACTAGTACAGTAGTATATACCTAATAGGTTACTCCGAGGTGCCCCAGGCCCAGAAAAAGGTGGGGTCATCTTATAGTCTAGATGGATTCTCAAGGTGATCGCACCCTGAAGATATCACCACACCCAAGATCTGACCTGTCTATGCTTGTTACTAGATAATGAAGCTGAGGCTCTAGATTATTCTGTCCACCAAGGAAGAGGCTTTCCAAGCAGCAGGAGATTCATGTGCATGTTCCAGGCCTCTTTTTCTGTGAGGCAGATAGTGTGCAGGGAGAGCCATGAAACAAACCCAACTGACCTAGAGCAGGAAACTGCCAAGGGAACATCTTTCTCCCCAAGGAGGGAGGATCGACCCTGTCTTGCTTGCTATTCAGGCTTCCCATCTACATCGTCTCTTTGGCATCTGTGCCATCTCATTTTCGGCATCTGTTGATTCTCTTTTCCTATGTGAGTCGAGATTTCCATGTTTCTTTGTGTTGCCAAGTAATCTGGGGTTGTGTTCTAGACATTTTGAATATTATGAGGCCCTGAGTCCTATTGAAATCCTTTGGCCGGGCGCGGTGGCTCAAGCCTGTAATCCCAGCACTTTGGGAGGCTGAGGCAGGTAGATCACTTGAGCTCAGGAGTTTGAGACCAGCCTGGGCAACACAGTGAAACCCCATCTCTACAAAAATAAAACATAAAACAAATGAGCCAGGCATGGTGGCTTACCCCCACAGACCCAGCTGCTCAGAGGCTGAGGTGGGAGGAAAGCTTGAGTCCGGGAGGTTGAGGCTACAGTGAGCTGTGATCACGCCACTGCACTCCAGCCTGGGCAACAGAGCAAGACTCTGCTGAAAAAAAAAAAAAAAAAAAACACAGAAGAAGAAAAAAAAAGAAGGAGAAGAAGGAGGGAGTTTGGCATGGCAGCTCATGCCTGTGACCCCAGCACTTTGAAGGCCAAGGCAGGTGGATTGCTTGAGTTGCTTGAGCTACTGGGGAGGCTGAGGTAGGAGAATCACCTGAGCCTAGAGGAGGCCGAGGCTGCATGAGCCGAGACCGCATCACTGCACTCCAGCCTGGGCAACCAGAGTGAGTCTAGGAGTTTGAGACCAGCCTGGGCAACATGGCAAAACCCTGTCTCTACTCAAAATACAAAAACAAAACCAAAACAAAACAAACAAACCTAGCCTGGCGTGGTGGTATGTGCCTGTAGCCCCAGCCACTCAGGAGGCTGAGGTAGGAGAATCGCCTGAGCCTGGGAGATTGAGACTGCAGTGAGCCCTGATCGTGCCACAGCACTCCAGCCTGGATGACATATCGAAGAAGAAGAAGAAGAAGAAGAAAGAAGAAAGAAGGAAGAAGGAAGAAGGAAGAAGAGGAGGAGGAGGAAGAAGAGGAAGAGGAGGAGGAGGAAGAGGAAGAAGAAATCCTTTGAAGAATGTTGTTATAGTTGTCTTAGCAGGCAATGTATATGTGTAGGTTCAGGCCACAAGTTCCAACCTGTTTTTTATTAGATGTTATTAGGATCTGTCTCACACGTGTGCCACCCAGTGGTCAGTCTGGGACCCAGAAGGAGTTCTATCAGCTCTGCTCTCAATGTCTTCAGTAGGCTAATTCGAATCCAATTTATGCATGTATAAGTCCAAGTTGGGGTGAGCCTCGGAGATCGTAAACAGCTTAACGGGATTGTGTTCCTGAGCAATTGCCCCTTCACTATTTCTCAGTCATTTCCAGTTTCCTGGACCTCTCCTTTTCATTCCACCAGCCAGAAACCACCCATTTCTATGACTGTGCTGCGTCTGGGACCAAGCAGCGAGGACAGAGAAAGATAATATAAAAGCAACAGTATTTGGCGTCACCCTTTTGGGGCTGCAGCTTCACCCAATGGAGATGAACGTCTCCTTCCCTTGGAGTTTGCATTCCTACAGTTTCCTGCTGCTGGCCATTCTCTCTGCCATTGCTACCCCTGCTGCAGACTTGTCTGGGGACTGGTGTGTGAGAGAATGGAGAAAAAGGAGTGGAAAATAACCTAGGGATTTTCTCCACTCTCTCTGAGCTTCAGGAGTTTCCTTTTCTGCTCCTTGAACCAGATCTAGGGGGTTTCTCTTGGATCTCTGTCTGCACCACAGTGCACATTTCCAGATTTCAGGGTGCATTGAGTTCAGGCTGGCAGATACCAGAGAAGAAAATGAAGAGCTCACCATCAATTCCATGGTACTTCCACGTCTGCTGTTCTTCCCTGAGCTACCTGCTAATATTTGCTTTTCAGAGTTCTAAGATGGCTGTGCCATGTATTTTATCCAGGTTTTATAGCTGTGCTCAGTGGGAGAAAATGAGGTTCGTGCATGTTTACTCCTTCTTATTTTGAACCAGAATCTCTAGGCACAGTTTTAATTTGCATTATATGCAAGGTAATTGTCATTTTTTAAAAATGTATATATATATATAGGGCCCAGATTGGAATTGTATAATGATTTCCTTTGATTTAACCACTGAAAAGGATCCCTGGTGAGAAAGGATGGTGTCGTGCATGGGGCAAGATGCTGTGGGGCAGAGCTGAGTGCTCTTTGGTTTTCATAGGCACCATGGCTGAGGAAACAGCTCCGGCAGTTCTTGAGCGGCACCAGGGATCCCTGTACTCCCTCTTTCCTGACCACCACGTGAAAAAGTACTTTGACCAGGTGGACATCTCCAATGGTTTGGATTGGTCGCTAGACCACAAAATCTTCTATTACATTGACAGCCTGTCCTACTCCGTGGATGCCTTTGACTATGACCTGCAGACAGGACAGATCTGTATGTATTTTTCATTATTTGTCTCAGTGCTGCCAGTATTGTTTTCATGTGTTTGTGACTAGTAAGGCGCCTCTCCCTTGCCTCATGTGAAGAGGTCCTTACTTAAATGGAGAGCTTTCTGATGCTACTATTCCAATACAGTAACGATAGCACAGACTTGACTGTGCTGTCAGTCAAATCATGGCCCTCAACATATTTAAATATGGCAAGAGTTTGACATAATGTGGATAGATCTGGGGAAGCTAATAAAAAATAATTAATACAAATATAGATTCTCAATCCTCTTCCTTGCCATCATCACCAGAAAGAGGCTCACTGCAAAAGGGATCCTGTTCTACCAGGAGGTGCCTAAAGGCAGATAATACTTAATGGAATATTGGCGCAAAAGAACAGAAACCTTGAGGTTTTTGATTGCTATTTCTTGTTTGTACTTTAGTTAACCATAGGCAAGTACTCAGAAGCTAATTACCAACCTTTCAAAATGGAAATGCAAAAAAAAAAGTAATTGCACGTTGTCCAACTCCATCAATATGCTTGAAAGGAGCCATAGTTGGAAAATGGGAGGGAAGGAATTATTTAGAATCTAGAAGGGAGTCCTTGAAACTGTTTCATGAAAGGTGCCAAACCTTTTATGAAACAAAAGAGCAACACTAATAATAAAAATGACTTCGAAAAAATATCCCCAGAACTCTGCATGCAGATTTAATCAGAGGCAAACTATTCTGGTGCAGATGTTTTGCTTTGAAATATGTAGTGCTTGGGAGGCTGAGGCAGGAGAATCGCTTGAACCCGGGAGGCAGGGGTTGCAGTAAGCCGAGATCGCGCCACTGTACTCCTGCCTGGCAACAGAGCGAGACTCCATCAAGAAAGAAAGAGAGAAAGAAAGAATAAAAGAGAGAGAGAGAGAGAGAGAAAGAGAGAGAGAAAGGGAGAAAGAGAGAGAGAGAGAAGGAAGGAAGGAAGGAAGGAAGGAAGGAAGGAAGGAAGGAAGGAAGGAAGGAAGGAAGGAA